GTAGAGTTGTTTGGGGACCTTGAGGCACGTAGTATTCGGCCCTTCAAAAAAGTGTGGATGGTCCTGGGCGAAACCTTCACCACTATAATCAAATCTCATGTGCTGTTGTCGAGCTGTCGTTTTCCTAGGAAATGATCTGCTTGATCCTCATACATCGAATTCGACGTGTGAGTCGAGTATACACACACACACACACACACACACACACACACATATATATATATATATATATATATATATATATATATATATAATTAAAAAGTTTTTTTTTTTAAAATTTACCCCTTGCTTGTAAAGGAAATGTATGGGCGATAGGTGGCATCAAACTGACATGGATCTTCAGAGCACTATGTTAATGTGGCTAGTTCGAAAATATGAATAATGAAATAAATAGGTTTAATAATAATATTTTAGATAAAAGCAAAATTAGAGATTTCGTCAGAGACAAATTCATTCATAAATGCTTGCAGGGAGAAAAATTAGAGTAGAGTAGACCCTATATTAGACCAAGGTATAAAACAATGTTCCCGTGTTACTGTTAAGTATCTGATATATTTATTTATTTAAACGTAAAGAGAAATCAATTAACACCGCCATCATTGTTCGATATTCACCAACAGCACAGAGTATGGAAGATGAAATGAAAATGTTTGATGCTAGACTGGGTAACACAAAAACTCAAGTTACAACTCTCATGGCTGATCTGAATATAAAAGTAGGGAGGAAAAGATGATGAAAGGGAATATTTGGAGAGGCACCATTAATGAACGCGGGGAAAACTATGAGTCCAATGTAGCAAGCGGACGTTCAAAAATTAACTGATTTTTTAAACAACCAAGACAATTACTCAGATGAACAAGCCCAAGAGAAGAAAAGAAAAAACAAAGTGGACACATAACAAATAAAAATCGATTCAAAAATGTTGTAATACTGTACAATATATCCAACCAATATATTCAACTGTAGGAACGAACACATTCCATGGATATGTCCATAGGGAGTGAAACTACGGGGAATGAAGAAGACCTCGGTATCATTCAAATAACAATATGACTGATTCTTGAATCAACCGAATTTGATTGATGGTGTTAAAAACGGATGCAATCAGATCAATGAAATTCGTAAGTCTACATGGCACACATTGAGTAATATCAGCAAACATAATCATTCCAAAGAAAACAAAACAATTATAATAGGAACTGATGACGGATTAATATCTGACATGATGAAAAAGATACAGCAAACAATGCCAATGCCATGCACAGAACATATTATAGTGCACAAAAAAATTGTTATGAATTCCAACGAGCAAAAGAGGTTTGTTTCAACACAATGTGTGCAGAAGCAGAAAATATGAGCATCTGCTCAAACTGATTATGAGAACCAGATAGAATTGCAACAGGGATTTTGGTAGGTTTAGATGATTTCGAGATTGAATTACAGACCTAATAAATGAAATATACGACAATGGCGATATACCGGCACATCTGAAAATACATCTTTCATAGTGCTACTCAAGAAGCGAAATGAAAAACTAAAGCGAACAGCAACGATTAATTACCCTAATATGCTACATAATAAAACTTATCATCCGTATTCTGATGAATAGAGTCTACCGTTTTATTGGACAATAACAGTCCGATTTTGTTAATGGCAGCGGAACAAGGAATGCGGTGATTATGATATCGGAAATAGCAATACAAATGCAAAAGCCTTTAATAAAATATACCGCCAAAAAACTTTATTAAGTGCTTGCTAAGCTAAAATTATTAAGAAAGGTGTTAGAATAAGCCGGAATTTATACTGGCAGCAAACCGCCTGCATCAAAATATAAATGAATTCAGTAAACACACAAAATAAAATGGCGTAAGTCAAGGTTCTTCACACTGTACTTATTTCCTCTTTACAGTGAGTTGAATATGCGAGAATTAGAAATCCCATCAGAATTCATTATTGGTGGCCACAATATTAAAAATATTAGGAAGATATAATGGAAGAAGCAGAAGGGGAAATTAATAATTATTATTTATCCCTGCTTTCGGAATGTCGTGTTGTTTAAAGCATTGTATTACATTCTATGCACCGTTATTAGATAGTTTCATATGATTCGAGATAATATAAGACTTTAGAAGTTCGCTTCAGATTATCTAAAATATGAAATATTGTGTTTAGTTTATTGCAGAAGATCTTTTCGTATGGCTTTATCTTTTCCTCCAACATGTGAATGAAAAAAGAATAATTCAAATAGAGACCAGAATAAATTTCTTCGCATAACTCCTTACGCTATATTATTAATTAAAGTTAGAAAGGTGTATATACTATTTTTCTTTAATCTATAACTTGTTTATTATAATTAAAAAAATATGTGAACGTTCTTTAAGAATATAAAATATCTAAATCAGTTATTTTACAAAAAATGGTTTCAAAATATAAAATAAGATTTCGTCAAAAATCTGATTTTGTACTTTCTTCATGAAGTTTTTAATGTTTGGGTTCTGACAGAAGATATAAAATTAAGTACAATAGTTACTGCAGCGAGTCCCGATAAAAAAATAAAATGCATTTTAAAAATAAAATATATAAACAAAATAAAAAGGATTCAAATTCGAAATAAGGTATTTCCACTCTCCTTTAAAACCATTACCTCTTTCTTTCTTTCATTCTTTATTTATTTATTTACGTCTCTCTCTCTCACTCTCTCTTTCACTCTCTTTCACTCTCACTCTCTCTCTCTCTCTTCCCCTCTCTCTAAATTTTCCTTCCTATACATCTCTCAACAGACAAGATTGAATGTCTCAAATAAAAAAAGGAAGAAGATGAAAAGACTGAACTCGGCCGTAAAACATCAACCGAACTTAGCTTGACACAAGCGTACCTATTTGTGTCTGAAAATTAACAAAATCAGGGATGCTCCACGCTTAACTTCCGTTATAAAAAAATTAAAATGAAAGGAACGCCGGAAAATAATTTTGACCAATCAAAAAAATTTACAAAAAAGTTACCTGCTAGATTGTCCTACCCGGTTACTGTTATGGGACCTTACCCATAATAACATAATGGACTATTCCATACGTAATAAATACTGCGCCTCAAGAGGAAGCTGAGAGTTCTGTCCGAAGTCGGGCGACCGGCTTACCGGCTGATCGGTTGATCTCTCGGCCTTCGGGCAGGGAGGAACCCGAAGAAGGCAACGCCGAAGGGCGGAGTCTCTTTCGGGGAGGTAAACCGACCTTGAACCCCCGTGTATACGGTTTCAAAGGGCATATTTTTGGCCGAGCCCACGGGCTCGGAGATCCCACGTTAAACCGGCCTTGTGCCACAAGATGCCCTCGTGGGAGGGGTGACTAAATACCGTTCAGTCTGAAGTCTGGAGTGTGGTCCGTCAGGAGTCAGTCAGTCGAGTCAGAGGCAGTCCGAAACAGAGTCGCGTTCAGACAATTACTACAAGACATTCGAATAGTGATACTGGTCGAGACTACATTGTTCTCCCTACTAAACCTGATTGTTCGTACTAACACTTTCTACTTCTCTGTATATATTCCTGTTTGTAATATATCCGTGTTATTCCATACCCGTGTTCGATTTCTTCTTTATTGGTTCTACCTTGGACCATCACCGTGGTACAAGGAACCGGACCATAACAGTTACACTAGTTAACAACCACTTTGCTACTTCTAGCAAATATATCGCTTTCCGGGACATATCATCAAGTATGCATAGCGTTTGTTTCAAATAACTGTTTCGTTTTTATCTAAAATGATTCGCAAATAAATTGAGTCTCCCTACTTGTTCAAACAATTCGTTCTGTCGTATTCTATGAATTAGTGTCATTAACACTTTGTACCCTGACCCCTGCTTTACCGATGGTAGAGAAAAACGACGTAATGCACAGCCACCGGTTGAACAGGGGTAGAGAAAAAATGCTTAACGCCAGCCACCGGTTGAACGGTGGGTAAACACTTGTAAGTATTTTTATATCTACCGTGAAACATTACATACTAATTATTTGCGAAATTTGACTCAGGAGCTCAGGCAGAAAGATTAAAATGATTAAGGAACGCAGAGCTCAAAGGATTAAGAGCGTGTATATATATATATATATATATATATATATATATATATATATATATATATATATAGTACTGTAATTGCACACTGAATAGCATTATTGTTGAGGTTACATTTACAATATAAGTGTTTATAGTATGTCAACCGAAAATGGTAATTTCTTTCCGATAGTTAAATGATATGCTTTCATCGTACTGTCGTATAGAGAAAAATGTGTTTTTCGCATGGAAGACTACTTATCAAAAATTTAGTTTTTCATTTATTTTCAGAATAAATTAAACTCGTAATATATATCACCATGACTGAATGTTTTTTCAAGCTGATGGTTGAATCCAAGTTGACGTCATAGGCGCAAAAATAAAACGACTGCGAGTGAAGTCTAATTTACAATAGTTTCCAAAGCCAAAATATAAAAAAAAATGGAATATGTCCTTCACCAGAAGCTTCTGTAAACGAGAAGTGATTGTCTTTTTGAAACGGAAGTAAGTGTGCTACACTTGAGAGAGTTTTGGAGATAATTAATCAGTTAAAAAAAGATGGCTCTGAGTGGAAAACCAAAGAAATTGCAGTTCGAAGAGAAAAAATAAAAACGGGTAGAAATTGGACTTTCTTGATAAAAAAAAATATTGTTGAACATTATCGATGAGAAATGCAAAAAATGCGATAAAGATGGCGGCTGTGAAGAGATTATGAATGGGGATAACTGTGAGGATAAATATAAAAAGAGGAGAGGAAATAGAGAGAGTCAAATTCAAAGAAGAAGAGAAAAAGAAGAGTTCAAGCCTCACTAGGTCCAGGAAGAAAGCAGATCAGGAAGAGGAGATAATAATGGATGGGAACTGATTTGTGACGCGGAAGAAGAAAGCTCTTGAAACAGAAGAAGAGAAATATAACGAAATTGTGTAATAAAGTTAAAAAATTACATCAAGACACTAAAAACAGAAATTACAAGAAGGCATTAAAGAAAACGCTTGAACAATAAAAAAAAATAAATTGATCAAGAATATTATGATGAAGATGTAGAGGAAGAGGAAGAAGGAAGAGTGAAATAGAGGAAGAATAGTGAGGGGGAGGATAACTAGGAGAAATGGACAAATAGAACAAGGAACAGAAAAAAGATGAAGAAGAAGAAGAAGAAGAAGAAGAAGAAGAAGAAGAAGAAGAAGAAGAAAAAGAACAAGAACAAGAAGAATAGAACAAAGGAAAAAATCAGGATAAGAAAGAGGAGGATGGGAAAGGGAAGAATAGAAATACAAGAAGAAGAAGAAGAAGGAGGAGGAGGAGGAAGTGGAGTTGGTGATAGTGGTAGAAGAGAAGGAGGAAGAGTGGAAAGAAGAAGATAAAGTATAAGGAGGAGGAAAAGTGGGATAGAAGAGGAATAAGGAGAAGGATAGAAGAAAAATAATTAAATAAAAAGGAGGAGGAAGAGAGAATAATACTATTAATAATAATAATAATAATAATAATAATAATAATAATAATAAAGAGAAGAAGAAGAAGAAGAAGAAGAAGAAGAAGAGGCGTCAGGAGAAAAATCGGAAGAGGTAGAACATGAATATGAAGAAGACGTATAAAAAGACGAACATTTGCCTTATCAATGGAAATAGATAATGAAAATATTTAAAAAAAAAAATCATAATATGATAAAAGAAGGAAAAAGAAGAAATGGAAAAAGAAGACGAAGAAGAAAAAATGTGCATTGACACTAGAAATAGAAAATTAGAACTGTAAAAAGAAAAAAAAAGAAAAGGAATAAAAGTAGTTAAAAAGAAGATGGGCAACCAAAAAAAAAAAACGAAAGAACAAGAAGTAAATCAGTGTTATCATTCCGCATAGTCTCTGAAGTTTGAAATAAAATGCAGAATACTGCAAAAGAAGAAGTGCATCAAATAAAAGGTAATATAAAGGAATGAAAAAAGAATGACAATATCTTGACAGAATGGGATGAAGAAGAATACATTACGAGAGATAATAACGAAGCTGCTGAAAATAAAGTAGATGATGATAATGAAAATTATTGATTTTATAAAAACTTGTTAAAGGAAGAACACTTTCTGCTAAAAAAAAGATATCAATTAGGACAACACAAAGAATGACACTCAGAAATAATACACACACACACACACACATATATATATATATATATATATATATATATATATATATATATATAATATATTAAATAAAATATATATATATACTAGCAGCATGGCCCGGCGTTGCCCGTGCTTGATTCAAAAATAGTACGACTAATACAGCAATCGCTATCACTTGACTTAAAATGTTTTTGCCCTTCCTTGCTTTTAAAGGAGTGCCCTTTTCCGTGCTGATGGTGTTACATGCCTTACTTCTTGCCTATCTCACACTGACAACTTTTTCTAAGCTCTATAGTAAACATTAAATCTGTTACGAAAAAAGAACTGAACAAAATAAACACAATACGATCAGCTTTAAAAAACCGGAAAAAATATTTTTAAGGGTTGACCGATTGTCGATTTGCACTCTATTTGGTGGGTTGCTCAGAGTTGAAACTTCACATGATGACTCCCAATGGCCTCTTCATATATCCGCTCGGTTTTCGCTAAAAACCGACATGCGGTTCAGGCGCAATCTGGGCATATCGGTTTTTGGGTTTTATCGATTTTCCGCGCTGTTTAGGGGTCCGTGGTCATGAAACTTCTGGACAACACTTCTAATGATAGACTCTAAGAGGGTGTCAAATTTGATTGAAATGCGATTATTCATTCTGTAAGCAGAATTTTTTCGATTATCGATTTTTTCGATTATCGATTTTTCGGAACCTGATTCCGAACTCAAAAATCGGGCTCCGTCATGTCCTTACGGCAGCCATTTGCAAACTTGTGTTGAAAACCGCATCGAAATCGGGTGAGAAATGTGGCCTGGGCAAGGTATCAACGCCCACGACAGACACACATACAGACAACATGAGAAATATAGATAGTATATATATATATATATATATATATATATATATATATATATATATATATATATATATATATATAAGACATTTGTTTTTTATTTATACATTCTTTTTATAGATAAAATATTTAAGTAAAAGCTCTATTTTTATAATAAACAGTATTAATAACATTTACCGTGCTGAATGTCCGAGGAATTGTATTTACTTAAATATTTGCATCTATAAAAAATGTATAAACATTAAAATAGTTTTCGGACTTTCTCCATTTCATAATGTGTGACTATATATATATATATATATATATATATATATATATATATATATATATATATATATATATATATATATATATTCAGGTTGACTAATAAGTTTCGTAGTTATATAAAAGATTATTGGTTGTATGGTTTGTCTAATCATATGAATATCAAAGTTAGAAATGTAACATTTTTTTCTATGTCTCTATTTATTTCGTTTCTGTTTTTTTTTTCTTTCTTTCTTATCGACGTCGCCAATCGTTTCTCTTTATGTATGTGTCTATTTATCATTCTTCTGGTTTCCGTTTTTTCCAGTCATGTCATAACTTCGCGTCGCACTTCTTTCGTTTCAAAGCGGCCAACAGGAAACTATCGGCGAGATGTTACCATTCTCTCTTTTGGAATTCAGGCGAAGAAACAACGGATGCCTTCACAAGTTAACAAAGTACAATAAACTTGGTTGAACCGAGAAAGACGAGAGACTAATTGGTAAGTAACTATTTAAACTAGACTACACAGTATGCTGCTTCTGGTAGTTAAAAGCAATAAAAAATTTCAAAAAAAAACCAACTGATCTATTTCGCTACAGGTTGTGTGAGTAAATGGACGGATACTTTGTTTGTTGAGAGAATTAATATTATTTGACCGGCAGATATACAGTAGCTTATTAGATTCTGAAAGAAAATTATTTTTCAATGTTTTCAAGTAATTTTAAAAATCGTACTATTATAATAATATGTGTGTGTGTGTGTGTGTGTGTGTGTGTGTGTGTGTGTGTGTGGTGTGGTGTGGTGTGTGTGTGTGTGGTGTGTGTGTGTGTGTGTGTGTGTGTGGTGTGGTGTGTGTGTGTGTGTGTGTGTGTGGTGGGTGTGTGTGTGTTTGTGTGTGTGTGTGTGTGTGTGTGTGCAAATGAAAATAATTTAAGTATTAGGGATAAAACATATCCTTCCAAATGTAAACAAACCAAAACCAAGAAATATCAACAGTTGAAAATATAGATATTTCATGGGACCAGTTGACAACGACAAATCTCGAAAAAACTTGAAACCAAACAAATTGTATTATTAAGACAAAAATATATCTCCTGTTAAAAAGGCGGCTGATTTAACTTTGATTAGGAAACGGAGGCAATTTTAGCAGCATGCCGCTGGGACTAACGAAATTATAAAAAAAATGACCTAATCTACGCAGGTACAATGATCGTGCTCGTCAAACAACAGTTCGTGTCATATACTTAGCTATATATGATGCCAAAGATAATAGAACACAGCATTCCTGCTTTCCCTCCCGAGGCGAGTGAACTTATTTTGAGAGCCAAACTAGCAGTAGAGCCCGGCGTTGCCCGGGGATGTAACAGTAAGATATATATCAAGTATCGACCATCATAAAGACTGAAAAATAAAATTGACAAAGGTTGACGGACACGCATGTATTAATTAGTTTTATTTTTATTTTTATTTTTTTGTTTTTTTACGAATTGGTCAAACCGAAACTCAAACAAAAACAGTGTTTTCAATCGTTATGAGTCTACTGATTGAATAGAATTTTATTATAAACAATTGTCTTGTAAATGGAAATTTTAAAGCATTTTGAATGTAAAAATAAAGAAAAAAGTGTGCAAGACAATAAGAAACACTACCTGCCAAAAAAGTGAAGTTTTGTTGAAATCGGTTGAAAAATGTAGGAAATCCGATCCCATATATAAACGAACACACACACACACATACACAAACAAACAACATGGGTTTTATAATAAGTATAACTCGATATGAGTTTTTCCCCATTCATTTTCGTGATAGCGATGTCTCTTAATCGTGTTTTCAAAGTGATTTCGTGCAAAAACAATTGTGTTTTTTTAATTTTTGGCGCTGTCAGAACCACCGCAAGGTAATTTACGTGGTCCTGTGAAGTTTTGTTGAAATCAGTTGAAAAATGTAGGAAATCCGATCCAATATATAAACGAACAGACACACACTCACACACACAGCCTGGGCTTTATAATAAGTATGATGCTGATATCAAATTTATTCATATTTGGGATAGTAATGATATTGAAGAAAAAATCATCTTATTTATGAGATGAAGTATTGAAGCTATTTACACTATTTACATTGTTCGAACTATTTTCCTCATCTTTATTGTCATATTCACGACGTTTCGGCCGTTGTACGATCCGGCTTTCTTCAGGTGGTGTACGTTGCCCATGGAATAAAATCGTTCGGTGAACTAACACAGTGAATTGACTCAAAAATTTGATAATTCAATAACAAGCCACAGCAGAGCTGAAACAAAAAATTGGAGATTTGAGATACTAAATGGAAATAAATGAAACTGCAATATCTGGAAGAGGCATGAAATGTGGAACTAGAACAAATATCCCGGTGGCCGAAATAAAACTTCGGTTCGAAATTCCAACGGTTATCATCTGAATAAGGCCGTTTCTAAGTGTTCTAATAAATCGAAGACATGGAATGCCATCAGTTATGACATATACTGTTCCCTTCATGAAAATTCATGGTGTAGAACGAGTAAAAAAATAAACAGTCAAAAATCTCTATGTATAGACCAGTTATAACAGATTAAATACAGTAGGTAAGGGAACTGAAAATAGACTAGATTACTCTAGACGTAGCTTAGTCAAAGACCACAAATTGCTAAAAATCCAAAAGATTAACCTGAAATGCCGAATCATGAACTTAAATATCCTTTCATATGAATATCTTGCATGCCTCCCAAACTGTTCAGTAATAACTAAACAGTCAGCTGCATACAATCGATTTCATAAATTAATGGTTAATAAATGGTGTGATCGAGTGAAGCTTTTGGGTATGGCAAAGGCCATCTTTCTTTGAAGCTTGTGGACAAGTGATATAGAATTACTAAGAACTTTACCAAATAACATAAACTAGTTCAATGAAGAGTTTTCAACGGCAGAAAGGGCTAAAATGAATATCACGTGTAACTCGAAGAGAAAATAATGACATAATTATGCCTTACACCTTGCATACAACTTCAAATCCAAGGTTACGGAGAAACCCACATCCATCATTAACGTAGAAAGTGAAAAATTTATGTTCGTGTCTTGAGAAACCGATTTCCCTGAAAAATTGTTTAAAGAGAAATTTATAAATTTCAGATGATAGTTGAACTAATCGCTTAATGAATGTCGAATGTTTCCTTCTATGTAAATGGCATTCTTCATCGCTTGTGCTGTGTCTCCTCAGCGTGATGACGATCTGGGTTCTCCACGACATCCTGTCCTTTGAAATGTTGTCATTTTTCTATCTTTCTCAAACACTGCTTAGCCATTCATTGACTAAAAGCTTATCAAGTAGATTATACTTTGTTTTTCCCTCTCCCTGTTGCCGTCAATATGTTTTGAGTGTATCACATTTCCCAAGCATTCTTTTCTCATTATCTACCCAAGAAAATCCAACTGCCTATTCCTCGTGTTAAGTGCGCCATTCTCGTTTCCATTGTCTTTAGAATTTTGTCATTTCTAATATATTCGGTCTATATTATTCATATCATCCTTCTGTAGAACCACATTTTTGTTGTTTCATGTCTCTTCTTCCCCTGTGAGGAGAATGTCTGACATTCGTTGCCATATAGAACACAGATACTACTGAGACTACATAAGAGTTTAGTACTGTTGCTGTTGTTTCTACCGAAATATTTTTTTCATACTTCGCGTAATTTTTGGAAGGCATCATTCGCTATCCCAACGGGTCTTTGGATTTCATTGTCGCACTTTCTGTCTTTGTTAAAACACTTCCCGTATATTT